GCGTGCAGAGATATGACTACAGACAACACACTAGAGATTATTGATTTTAATTCTGAAGGATTGGGAAGACAAAACAAGAAAAGAAAAAGGCACTAAAAACAAAATGCATAATATCACACTTGTCTAAAATTATATATAAGTTGGTTATATATGTAAAGATGTTAAATAAAAATAATTTTATAAAAACCACATATTTCACAAAAAAGTTTTATCACATAAATGGAAAGAGAAAGGGGTATTTTAAAAGCATAAAGTGAAATGTTTGATTTTTGAGAGTTCACTAAGCATATGTATAATTTTGGTTTGTTTTGTTTCTGTAGTAATTCCTCTGAATGACGAAGTTCTGGTAACAATAGGTAAAGAAGAGGTAAGTCACTTAATGAATTAGTAGTAACCTCAAATAATTTATAATTAGAAGTGTTGTAGATAAGTTCATGATACAAGATCTAGGATGAAACCACTTTAAAACCATGTTTACTTTCTCTTTTGATTTTAATTATGTTTTATTGAACAGAATATTTTAAAAGCTTTAAATTTTGAACTCAATTTGTCTATGAGAACTATTGCTAAAGTTAGTGTTTAATATGTAAATCTTGCTCTTAATACTTAATTTTCAATTGATTAAACTCTTTTTATAATAAAAGCAGAAATGGTAAACATAAACTGAATGATCATACATATACATTTATTTTTTCCAATACTTAACATAATGTCAGTGAAGACATGGTTTAAAGTGTAAATCTATTAGGTCAAAGTATAGCAGAAAAGATAGAAGCAAAAAAATTTTTTAACAAGGTCGTAGAGCATAGAAAGAGGTAATTATCTATATACCTAGAGACAGAAATAGGTATGAAAAGAGAGATTATCTGTCCTATAGGATGAAAGAAAGGCTTGAGATTTGAAGGAAACTGCTACTGCAAAATTTAGGTTTCAAGTGTGAACTAAAAATGAGATTTCTTTAAAGTTAAAACACAATTAGACCTGTCTCACTTTCTTTCTTTTGCAATCAGAGAGCTAACTTTTTAACCCTGCACCTGAAAGCTGGAGGTATATGGTATGAAGATATTAAACTATTGAGGCGCTGGACTCAGGGACACCAGGTTGGGTGTTTAGTAAGGGCGGTGTACAGATTAAAAGTTGGAAAGGTCAAGTTAACATTTTCATACTATGTGATAGAAGTAAGTACCGGCTTCTTCCCCTACTGTGTCCCCAGAGGTCCTGCAGTCTGGTGTAAAAATAGCCTCAGACTAAAGATAAAGTAATCTTCTCTGAAAAATCTATATGGCCCAAGGAAAAAATCTCTCTAAGAATTAATATATGGGGGTCCCCGATGAAAAAGCCCCATTCATAAAGAGTTTTTAGTAGGTTTTTGACTTTTAAATATGAATGGCCAGCCAGCGATCAACATTTGTTAAATGCCTCCAAATGGAAAGGCAGAAACCCAAAACAATTGACAAAGATGAACTTTAAGGAAATAGAGACAATTCTGGGAACAAATAGAATTTAATAAAACTGTACCTTAAGAGAGATTGAAAAATTTTGGGTAGGGTCCACAAAAAAACAAAATGTCAACTTAAGAAAAGTACCACTTCTTACCCACTAGGATGACTATAGTTGGAAGACATACAATAACAAGTATTGGTGAAGATGTGGAGAAATTAGAACACCTTAAAACACTTCTGGAAGAATGTAAAATATTGCAGTCACTTTGGAACAGTCTGGTAGTTCCTCAGAAGGTGAAAAGAATGACTACTATTTGAATTAGCAGTTTCACTTCTAGATATATACCCAAGAGAAGTGAAAATATGTGTGTGTCCACACAAAAACTTAAATGTGAATGTTCATGGCAACATTTTTCTTAATGGCTGAAAAGAGGAAACAACTCAAATGTCCATTAGCTGGTGAATGGATAAATAAAATGTGCTATATCTATAGAGTGGCGTATTATTTGTCAATAAAAAGAAATGAAATACTGATATATGCTATAAATTGGATATACCTTGAAAACATGCTAAGAAGCCATATGATTCTATTTATATGAAATGTCCATAATAGGCAAATCGAAAGAGACAGGAAGTAGATTGTTAATTGGAGAGAAAGCAGTGAGTAACTGCTCAATGTACAAAATCTAACCAGTTGAAGTTCCAAAATAGGAAAAAAAAAGGGAAGGGAAAAAATAAAATAAATATTACCAAAACATTTTCCTAGAATGAAAAATACTGATTCTTTTCCACATCGAAAAGATCCACTAAATTTCCAACAGCATGAGTTAAAAATGATACATGCCATAATAATCCAGCATAATTTTTTTTTGGTAGCAGCCATTAGGCCAGCAACGGTAGTTTAGACTGGCTGAAATCCAAACTTGATGCAGTGCTGTTACAAATAAAAATAACAAAGGGGTTGAATATTTAGCTCTTTTGTCATTATCTTACATTCCTTTATGCATCCAGTGAGCCAACTCTATGAGAATTTTTTCTATCATTTCTAAATTCATTGATAACTTCTACTTGTAGTAACTGATCATAGTGCAGCTGTCATATCTTCGTTCACCATCAGGCATCTAAGGTTCATCATCTTCTGTCCCATAATCCTTACTTTTTTCGGAGTACTTTTGCCATGTTTCAGGAGCCAGGATTATTATAGCAAATCCTACTTCCGATGCCAACTGTTTTAGAATTTTCCCCAATACCACTCGGGTAAAGTGATTCACTAGATCAGCTCACAGGACTCAGAAGAGCTATTATACTTGTTGTTATGATTTATTATAGTGAAAGGACACATTAAAATGAGCAAAAGGAAAAGGCATGTGGAGCAAGGTTGTAGGAGTCCTTTCTCAGTGGAGTTGCATGGATGTGAATAATTCTCCCTGCAACTTTGTGTGATGACATGGACAAAGTGTTGTCGTTCAGGGAAGTTCACCTGAGCTTGTCCACCATTTTTATCTGGAGTTAGTCACTATGTATGCAGGGCCTCCTCGACTGACCAGCTACTTAGACTCGAGGTTCCCCCAGAGTAAAAATGCATTCACCATGAATCACATAGAATGAACTCTCTTATGAAACTGATACCAACTGGCCCAAGGCCGCAGGCACACAAACACTCTTATCAGGAAGAATATTCCACGGTCTCAGAGCTCCTCTTCCAGAAGTCCATCAGGGACTAGTCCTGAAGACAGACGTTTTTGGGAATGTTCAGAGTTTGTGCAACCTTGGCCTGCTGGGTTAACCCTTTCTTGCATATTTGTCTTGTTATTCTATTAACAGCATCTTTTGAAGAACTTAAGCTCCTAATTTGATTAACTCTGTTTTATCAAGTTTTCTTTTGAAGTTTGTGCTCAAATATAGGAAATATTTGCCCAACTTAAGGTCATAAAGATTTTCTTGCATGTTCTTTTAGAAATTTTAAAATATTAAATTTCATATGTAGATCTATGATCCATTTTGAAGTAATGTTTATATATGAAATGAGTTACTGGTAAAGGTTCATTTTTTTCATGTAGATAGGAATTGTTTCAGCACAAATTGTTGAAAGAACTATCTTTCTCTTTTAAATTTCTTTTGCACATTTATTGAAAATTAATTAACCATATGTGCGTGGATCTATTTCTAGGTTCTTTATTTGTTCTCCATTCTGTGCTGTGGATGTTTTTCTTCCTTTGTTCTGTGTTTCTGTCTTTAGGCCAATACCACGTTGTTTTATTTACTGAAGCTTTATAATAAGTCTTGGAATTAAATAGTATGAATTATTTAACTTTGGTGTTCTTTACCAGAATTGTTTCATATTTTCATATAAAGTAGAGTTGGCTTGTCATTCTATCCCATAACAAAGTGTACTGAAATTTTGACCGAGATTGCGCTGACTCTATAATTTAATATGAAGAGAATTGACATCTTTAACATATTGAGTCTCAGTTTAGATCCATGAGCACTATATGATCTCTGCATTGATTTAGGTCTCAATTTATTTGGTATTTAAAAAATTTACCAATATTTTATGCTTTACTATAACAACAGACTAAAAAAGAAAAAAAAAACTTGACCATCTCAATGAATTCAAAAAGAATAAGTGACAAAATTTAATATTCATGATTTTAAAAAAAGACTTTAAAAATTATAATAGAACTGTGCAGGTATTGTACATGTTTTGTCAAATTTACTCCTTTAGTATTTCATATATTTGATGCTATTAAAATATTCTTTTTTAAAATTTCAATTTCCAGTTGTTTATTGCTATTGTACCTACTAAGCATGATAAACCCCTTTATTCTAGTAGCTTTTTTCTAGATTCTCTGTAGGATTTTCTACGTAGCCAGTCATGTCATCTGAGATCAAAGGCAGTTTTACTTTATCTTTGCATCTGAATGCTTTTTATATCTTTTTCTTGACTTATTGTGCTATTCTGGAACTTAGTAATAAATAGAATAAAAGTGGTAAGGATGAGCATTTTTTCCTTGTTCTTGATCTAGTGGATAGTATTCACTCTTTTACCATTAAATGCGATATTAGCAGTAGGTTTTTCATTGATGCCCTTAATTAAGTTGAGGAGATTACCTTGTTACAATTTTTGAAGTCTTTTTTTAAAAATCATAAATTAATATTGAATTTTGTCACATTCTTTCAGAATTCATTGAGAAGAACAATTTTTTTTCTTTTTTGGTCTGTTGATATAGTACATTACATTGCTTGATTTTTAAAATTTGATTTTGATTGTTTATACATTCCTAGGAAAAATTCCACTTTGCTATAATGTGTTAATCTTTTTTTATTTATTGATGGACTTACTAAAATTTTATTACGATTTTTGTGTCTATGTTAATGAGAGATACTGGTCTGTGGTTTTCTTGTGACATCTTTGTCAGGCTTTGGTATCAGGGCAATACCAGCTTCATAGAAAAATTGAGAAGTATTCTATTTTTAAAATAATTTGTATAGAATCAGTATTATTTATTCCTTAAGTGTTTGTTAAAATTCCCAGTTGAAGCTCTCTGGGCCTGGATTTTTCTTTGTGGGAAAATTTTTTTAATTACAAATTCAGTTTCTTTACTGCTAGTCAGGTTTTTTGTTTTCTCTGAATGAGCTTTGGTAGTTTGTGCCTTCAAAGAGTTTGCCCATCTTATCTAATTTGTTAAATTTATTGACATAAACTGTTCAGAGTGTTCCCCTATTACCATTTTAATGTTTGTAGTAATGTCACCTTTTTCATTCCTGATGTTGGTAATTTGTGTCCTTTTTTTCTTTTGTAAAAGTCTGGGTAATTTTATTGGCCTTATCAAAAAATCAACTTTGGATTTCATTGATTTTTCCCTATATTTCTTTTTGCTTTTCTATTTCATTGATTTAATGTTCTATTTCATTGTTTTATCATTATTTTTCTTCAGCTTAATTTTGATTTTACTTGTCCTTTTTCTAGTTTCTCATGCTTGAAGCTGAGGTCATTAATTTGAGAGCTGTTTTTTTTTCTGACATCGACTTTAGGTGATGTAAATTCTCAGCTGAGTCCTGCTTTTGCTTCATCCCAGAAATTTTAATTTTGTTTTTATTTTTAGACAGTTTATAATAACTTTTTATTTGCCTGTTGATTGCTTCTTTGACCCTTGGATGTGTAGAAGTCTGTTTTTAGTGTCCAAATATTTGAAAATTTTTTTCATTGTTAGATCATATTTAATGTAATATCAATATGGTTGCATTGAAATCTGTATACTTAATTTTTCCTTCCCATTTGTCTTGTCTTTTCTTTGTTCCTGCTTTCCTGTCTTCCCACTTTCTTGAGTTAATTGCGTATATTAAAAAATAAACCTACTTTATTTACACTATTGGCTTAGTTATAGCTCTTCATTTTTTTTTTGTGATTGCTCTAGTATTTATAACATACATCTTCATATTATCACTGATTTAGATTTAGAAAAATCTAACGGTAATCCTCGACATCTGGAGAATGGGACACTAGCTCATGTTTTTAAAAACAAAAAGATATTAGACAAAGTCTAGAATTTATTATAATTTCCTATTGCCACACGGTGAGCTTTGATTTTATTTAAATACCTCAAGTATGCTCCTTCCTTAAGGCCTTTCTACTTAAAATTCTCTTTATATGGAATATTCTTTTGCTAGATAGTGACATGGATTATCTTTCACCCTCTTTCTCCTGTTAAATTGTTAACCTGATCAGAGAGGTCTTTTCATATCATACTACGTATCGTGCATGTCATACTTGCTCTCCTTTTTGTATTCTTAGTTTGACTTATTTTTACTTCATCGAACTTATCACTCGCTGGAGTTATATATTTGCTTGTTTGTCTGGATTTTCCTTTGTTTTGTTCACTTTTGTATCCTTGACTCTTTCAACAATGCCTGGTTGTCAATAACTGATCAATAAATATTTGTTGAATGAATAGTATTCATAATCTACCTGATTACTGAATACTCACCATTAAATTGCCATTCCATATGAAATTAAAATTTATAGCTTGAAAATTCCTAATTATGTTTTTGAATTTAACAATAAAATGTTAGAAAGAACTTAGTACCTGGTATATAGCTCCCTTTCAGAGACTTCTTGCTCAGTTGTTTTGCTATTCATTTTGGAATACAGATTTTAGAATTATGTAAATTATACTATTATTCAGAAATATAACTATTTATAGGATTAAAGACTAAGCAATTAATTTCAGTTATTTTGTTCTAGTTCCAAAAATTGAGACATGATCTTGAATTGGTACTTTCTACTATTCAGTCAAAGAATGCAAAGTTAAAGGAAGACTTGGAAAGGTATATTTATATCATAATTACCATTAATCATTGATATATGTCAAATTGGCATTAATGTTTTATTAAGCTATTGTTTGTTTTGTTTTTCTATGTTTAAAGGGAGCAACAATGGTTGGATGAGCAGCAACAAATATTGGAATCTCTTATTGTACTACACAATGAATTGAAACATCAGGTTGTGACAGTTTCTGAATCAAGGTATTATTTTTGTGTTCTAGGTTTTTAAACTAGGAGAAAGTATTTTCTTTTTTGTTACATGAAATACACAGATGAAAAGAGATATATTTACAGGAAATTGTGAGTCTTATCCTAACTTTTGCCATCTGTTAATCACATCATCTTTTATGAGTGACTTGACTTTTAGTTTCCTTATATGTTAAATAGAGAATATTGCTTTCGTAAAACTGGTTGTATTTGTTTTGAGCAAATGAACTTTGGACAGAGTTTTTGATTGGCCTTATAAGTAACCAGTTACATACACTTATGTATTTTATCAGTGAAATATTTCTCTCAATTTTTTTGAAATCTATTAGGATCTTTAATGAGCTGAAAACTAAACTACGTGATACAAAAGAATATAAGGAGAAACTGTTGATTACCTTGAGTGAGTTTCTAGAAGACCACTTTCCTCTGCCTGATAGAAGTGTTAAAAAGAAAAAGGTAAGTTTTAGAAGAGATATTCATGTATTTATATGCGAAATTGTTTTAGATAGGGTCAAATATAAATTTTATGATAAATTTTTATGTTATACATTTCAGAGATACACACAGATAGATACATGTAGAGAAACAGCTTGTCATCACATTTAAATATTGAAAAATTAGAGGTAAGCTAATTGTTCAATAATATAGTACTAAATACATTTTTTTATATTGTGTTCATATGATGGGGAAAATGCAGCTTTTAAAAATAATGTATTGAACACTATCAAAGGAGTTAATGAAATGCTCACAATTTATTGTTAAATGGATAAAATACAGATGGTTAAATTGTGCAAGTCTAATTTATACCAAAACATGTAATAGTGCTCATGTCTGGGGGCTAGGATTGTAGGTGAGATTTGTTTTCGTTTTTACTATTTTCTAAATTTTTCGCGAACCCATGTAACTTTTAAAATAAGAAGAATTGTTATTTAAAATCTGTTAATGGAAGGTATTGACTGTTTTAATCGTAATTAAAATTGAATAAACCTTTCCCACCAAAGCAAATAAATATTTTATTGAGTGACAGTAGATTGGGAACAACTACTTTAATTTATTTTTAAAAACAGTATATTGTATAATAAAAGTTGTGCAAGTAGAATAGGCATTGAAACTGGTACCAGAATGATCTTTCTAAAAATATATAGTTTAATCATTTTTCAACATAAAACTTTTGATGGCTACTTACAGGATGAAGGCTATAAACTTCTTAGAGTAATGAATTTATGTGCTGGACTTTGTCTATCTCTTTAGCCTCCTTTCCAACCTTTCTTTACCCATCTCTTGCATGAATCCATTTAACTACTATTATAGTTCCAGTAAGTATGCAATGATCCTAAAAGAAAACAGATACTAAACCCATGGGCTTTGGTTTTAGAGAGGATTTTATAAATTTGACCTCAGAGGCAAAGGAAGTAAAAATAGATGAATGGGACTATATCAAACTAAAAAGCTTCTGCACGGCAAAATAAACCATCAACAAAACAAAGAGGCAACCATCCAAATGAGAGAAGATACTTGCAAACAATGTCTCCAGGGACTAATATCCAAAATATATAAAAAACTCATACAACTCAACGATAAACAAACATTCCAAATAAAAAATGGGCTGAGGACCCGAACAGAAACTTCCCAAGAAGACAAACAAATAGCCAACAGACATATTTGAATATGCTTAACTATACCAGTTATTAGGAAAATGCAAATCAAAACCACAATGAGATGTCACCTCATCATTTGTAAGAATGGCTCTTATCAACAAGACAATAACAAGTGCTGGGGAGGTTGTGGGAGAAGGAACCCTTATACACTGCTGGTGGGAATGTAATTGGTACAGCTATGAAGGTTCCTCATTAGAATAGAGTTATCATTTGACCCAGCAATCGCTCTAGTGGGTATCTACCCCCTAAATTTGAAAACATTTATTTATAAAGATATATACACCCTGCTGTTCAAAGAACATTATTTATGATGGCCAAGGCATAGAGACAATGAAAGTGTCCTTGGATAGATGATTAGATAAAGAGGATATACAATGGAATATTAGTCGGCCATGAGAAAAGATGAAATACTGCCATTTGCAATAACATGGATGGATCTTGAGATAATCATGCTAAGCAAAATAAGTCAGACAGAAAACATTGAGAACCATGTGATTTCACTCATATATAGGATATAAAACAAACAGCAAACGAACAAGACAAACAAAAACTCAGATACAGATGACAGTTTAGCGGTTACCAGAGAGAAAGAGGAGAAGGGGATTAGGTAGATAAGGATAAAAGAGTCAAATATATGATGACAGAAGGAGATTTGACTTCGAGTGGTGAACATAAACTGCAATATACAGATGATGTATTGAATTGTACACTTGAAACTTATGTAATTTTACTAACCGGTATTACCCTAATAAATTTAATTAAAAAAAAAGTATGCATGGACATGCCACTTTTTGTGTCTTATACATTATATTCTCTCTGCTTACAAAACATTTCCTATCTGGTGAGGATAGCAGATTCCTGCTACAGCAACTCAAACATCATCTTTTGTGTGAAGCATTGAGTGAAGTTTAAGTTCATTTTATGAGCATTTATGATGTAATTTTGTAGTAATCATTTATATCTATCTCCCTGTTTGTGCACCATGTACAGTGAGCTCCTTGATGTGTTTAATTCATCTTTGTGTCTGCTATCTTGCCTATCTATTATAGTACCTTCTAAGGTCATATTTATTGAATGACTGTGAGTATGTATACTAGGAAAAGGAGAAAAAGTTCTCTTGGTTTTCTTACAATCTGTTTTTTTAATTCTCTTTTTTTTATAACTATCAGTAGACTCTACATTTGTCGTGGACTATGTCTCCCATTCTGTTCATTGTTATTTATACCTATTATTCATTTCTGAATTGTTGACCTTCTGTTAGTCTTCTCGTTAACCATTTCATTAAGTTCTTGATTCTTTACCTATTAATACAATAATGTTCCAGTAACTTACTAACTTACTGTCTGTTTTTCATCTTTTCTTTTAACCTATTCTTCTCCGCTAATAGAACGAGAAGTTTGAGGCATTGTGAAAAAGGAAGCTTTGATTACCAGAAGTCATCATGGGTTCATTAAGTGTTGTTTGATAAGCTCACTATTTTTAATGAAATATATGAACTATCGATATACACAAAATGATAGATTACATTCTTTCTTTCTCTCTGTCAAGTAATAATACTGGATGTATTATACTGGATGTATTAGTGAGCTCAAGCTGCCACAACAAAATACTACAGATTAGGTGGCTTAAACAAAAGAAATTTATTTTCTGACTGTTTTGAAGGCTAGAAGTTTAAGATCAAAATGCCATCAGGTTTGGTTTCTACTGAGGCCTTTCTTCCTGGCTGATGATGGCTGCCTTCTGACTGTGTCATCTGAGAAATCTTTCTAAACCTGTGCATGTATAGAAACAAATGGAGTGATGGATGAGTGGATCAATTTAATTTTGTATATGCTAGTATAAAATAAGTATTAGAGATAATTTTACTTACATTCGATAGACGAAAAATGAGTAAAGTTGAATTGGTGAACTCAGATAATTATTATTATTATTTGCTTTAAGTGATTTCAGTTCTGGAGAGATCCCTAATATAAAGAGAACAAATTATGGAAAACAAAAGATTTTAATAGTTTGTATAATTTTATCTTTCAATTTTAGGCAGTGTTCTTTGACTCCCTGCTATGAAAGATGAGGAAATTAATATTCTTCCTCTTATACTCTCGTTCCAATTTGTGTTAATCTATTTGTACTTTGAGAGGTTTATAGCATTTATATTCTGTTTGAGTACCATAATTCATGTATATGCTTAGTCTTTATTCTACATTGTATTGGATTCAATGATTATCATCTCTTACCAATCATTTTTGAATTTTTAAGTTTAATTCATCACTTGATTTGATGGGTTTCTTTGACAAGTAATTTGTTCAAGAAGAATTCCTGGATGTTTTAGTTTTTTAATTTTTGAATGCTGAAACTATTTTGTTTGCCTTTATACTCAAAGGATACCTTTGACACATTTTTAAAAAATCTCAAGATTTCTCCATTCTGAGATGGAATGTGCAGTGGAGGAGTCTGAGGCCAGTCTATAGGTTATCTTACTGCTTCTGAATGTATGCCTGGAGAGTTCTTTATCTTTGACCTTCAGTAATTTAACAGGATATGTCACAATGTTAAACATTTACTAGTAGTTTTGCTTTGAAGCTGATGTATTGTTTCCAGGGGACAGATTTATGTCACCTTTTATTTTATATTGCTTATCAAATCTTTATGTTGAAACAGTTTTTCTTTGTTTGCTTTCGTTTTATTTTTCTTCTGCATTTTCTTTTTTTGTCTCAAATCTTGTATTTTAATCCATGCCTTGCTGCTTATTTTTTTTATCAATTCTAAAATTGTGTTTGCTTTCATCACTAGTGAATCATACGCTACCTTTTATTATTCCATTTAGTAAGGTATTAGTGGTCAGAAGATTTTGAGATCCAACTTTACTATTGTTACTCAGGAATCACATTTATTTTTGTCAGGTTTTTTTTTTTTTTTTTACTATTTAATATTTTTGTATTTCTATAAGATTTTACAAGGACTCTTTTAATCTTGGAATGGAGAGTATTAGCTGTCACAATAGTTGGTGACTTTGCAATTAATTGAATGTCTGAACTCAAAAGCTGCTGATTAGGATTAGTATAATCTTGGAGACTACTAGCAATTTCCCTTGGAGCCTTGTCCTATTGAACATTTTAAATAGTAATTTGGATAAAGAAGTAGAACACTTGTCTTCAAGTTTGGGAAGATATGAAACTGCAAGGGCTAGATAGTAAATATAGGGGATGACAATTAGGACTATTTTTCAACTGGCTAGGGATTAAGCCAAATAAAATAGAATGATACTTAGTAGAGGTACACTGAATGTTTTTCTTGGGTTTAAAACATTAAAGAATGATGACAACCTATCTTAGCTAAATGTATGAAAAGAGATTGGCACTTTAGATGATAGTATGTTCAGATAGAGGTCAGCAGGGTGAAATAGATGTTCAAAAGCTAATGTAATCTTAAACCTAATGATAGAATTCCAGCATATAAAAATATGGAAATGAGTCTTTTTATCTTTGGTATTTGAATCAGGCCTGTATCATTGTGGAGACTGGATCCAAAAAAGACAAATTAGAGCACATTCAGAGAACATCCATGAGACCAAAGGGCTTATGAAAAACAATTGAAGGAACTAGTGACGATTAATATGGAGAAGCTTGAGGCTCATAATAGCTGTCTTCAAATATTTGAGGAACTCTTGCATGGAATCATGAAATGAGATTTATTTTGTGTCATTTCAAGGAAAAAAGAATCAGTGAATTGAATTAACATTAGGAACTGTCAAGAACTATACAAAGACGAACAGGTCTCCTTGGGAAGCAACTTTCCTCTCCTGAAGCTGTATACAGCCTATAATGTCCTTTGTTTGAGATATTTTGATTGGGAGGTTCAAACACTAGACTTTTATATATGAGTATATATAATATGTGTAATATAGTTTATCACATATATTTATAGTCTGAATTGTATCTTCTAGTAATTATGAGAGATTTCACTGTCTTAGAAGTTGTTTCATTTTCATGAATCTTACTGTTTAGACAGATTATTTACTTTCAGTATTCTTTTTAAATCACCTAATTATAAATGTTTGATTTTAGTATATCTTGTGCCACTACATTTAAGAAATTAATTTTTGAAGTTTTGTAATACAGTATAATCTGCCATTGGCAGAACTGAAATGTTAATTCTTTGTTATTCACATTTCTCTCAAAGAAAAATATTCAAGAATCAACTGCACAGCTGCTAACACTACATGAAATGTTAGAGGTAAGTGACTTGTGTAGTTGTTTTGTCTTGAAGATGTCACTTAATTAGTGATTTGTAAACAATTATACACAGGCTTGAAAAAGAAAAAATACTACTTTAGTTCTTAAAGTATACACCAATCTTTATTAGATATATTAATTTATCTTTCGTATAAAATTAGTTTCTGTTTTCTATACAGTACTAGAAAGAATATTGTTTAAAAGGACATGAAATTAGTCTCTTAATCATGTTCCCAAGATTACTTAAGAATATTTTTATGCTGTTATTTAGTATTTACACAGTGAAACTTTGTGCTGTTACATTGATGGTATCTAGCTGGCATTCTATCTGTATTCTATCAAAAATGCGTAATGGAGGTTACAGAAATTTGTGCACACTTTTTCCTTAAATAACAGCCTCTTTTTTCATAAATGTAAGGACTGAGCAATTGCAACATTTTCTGCCTAACATTTACCTTTTTTTAAACAAATGTCTTTGACCTTTTAAAAAAATGTTTGTGAACGTCAGCCAATTATGAAATATGTTAAATATTTTAGATCTTGATATGACAATCTATTGCAAGTTGGGTGGAGAGGAAGGTAAAATAGGTTATGAAGAAGGGGCTATTTAACAAAAAATAGCATGTTTTTTAAAAATCATTTGTAAGTTTAGAGTAAAGAGTGATATCAGAAAACTTTTTTCATTGTAATTTTATGAATTGAAAACTAAAGTCTCTGTTTTCATCCAGTTAAGTAGTTTTGGTGCCTCAGGATGTCTTAATAGAGAATTTGGAAGCAAATACAAATATATTTTAGATTTGTGATTGGAATCTTTTAACATATTGCTAGTTATTCCAGTTTACACTGAAACTAAGAAACTACTGTTTCTCATGGATGACTTAACCTTTTTTAAAAGTAATAGTTGTCAGATATCTGGCAAATATCGACAGTTATTAACTGGGAAATACATGTGTAATTTTTGAATAGTACACTGAGATCTCATCTAAAACTTAAAATTAGGAACCATTTTTGTCTCCAAGACATATTATCAATGATATAAGTACCAATATATAAGCTGCAAGTTAGTGAAAAATGAAACAATATACCTGTTCATTTTAAAGTTGAATTTTTAGCATTTAATTATTTCTGGCATCTACTAGAATTTTAATTAATATAATTGAAGTCAGAAATGAAAAGATTTTAAATTATATCAAGATAAGCAATTGCTCTAAAATAGAAATAGTATTTAATTTTTTATATCATTATACCTAAAAGAGTGAGACTGAAAGATTTTTTTTTCAGGATGTGTACTTGAACTATAGCTAAAGTTCATGATAGATGAAAATTTCATTTCAAGAATTGAGATATTGGTATTATTATGATGTGATTGAGATGAGAGCTTTAGTTTCATTGTATTTCTATAGTACTTAAATATTTGTATATATTATGCTTTTTCTTTTCCATGTTTTTAAAAATAATATGTTTTAATTAAAGCTTTGGCCTGGCAATTAAGAGATAAGAAGTTTAATCCATGATCTTCCACTAATTATGTTCTCCCTGAGGAATCTCTTAACCTTTCTGAACTCTGGTTTTGTAATTTGTAAAGACAGTGTGTGGTAGCTGAGGGTGCAGAGTAAAACTTGATATACACTTAGCATCTTTCAGTATGTGTCATACAACATTAGTATTCAAGGAATTTTTACTGTGTGTTTCTTGAAAAACTTTTCCTAATGCCAATGATTTAGAAAAGACATGTGATTCTTAGTGCACATTAGCATTTTTTCCCCAGTTTATTAGATTACAGAACCCTGTTTATCAAGACTAAGAACATCCTTAGACCAGTAGAATGCAATTTGAAAAATGTTGACCTGTATAATTTACCACAAAGTCTCAAAACTTATGTTCCTAGTTGTAACCTCTCAATATCCTTAGTGAAGAAATCAAAGATATTCAAGATGAAGTTGCAGGAAGTAATGATAGAATTATTTTGAAGATTTATCATGATAGGTGTTTGGGGGTTGGAGGCCACAGGATTGGTGATTTCTTTTTCCTCCAAATATTAAGACATGCATATTAAAAAAAATTTTTTTTGCATGTTTTGTTGAGTATTTAAGTTTCTTATTTTTTTTTAACAAGTGGTTATAACCAAACTTCTAAAGAAATTATTAATTCCAAGAGAAGTGGGAGAATTGTAAATATCTTTCAACCAAGTTTTAGGAAATGTTTTCAAAGTTAAGATGCAGAGATTCATTTTATCTGATATCTATAGTCTTTTAAAAAAGAAAATCAGTTATTTAAATTAATACATAGAAATTTTGTTATAAACAGTTATTCAAAGAAAGACTATTCTTTGGTGAAAAACTTTATTAAAAGTTTTATTATAGCTGTATAAACTTTTTCCCAAGTAAGGTATATTTTGAATGATATTTTTCCTAGATTCTTTTAAATAGATTATTTGATGTTCCACATGATCCATATATCAAAATTAGCAATTCTTTTTGGCCGCCTTATGTTGAGCTGCTCCTGCGTAATGGAATTGCCTTGAGACATCCCGAAGATCCAACCCGGATAAGATTAGAAGCTTTCCATCAGTGAAAGAATGGTCTCTTTTTCACACAGTACTTAAAGAATCTTGTCATTCAAGGATAATGGAAACACTGAGTATTACTTGGATAAAGAACATTATTTGGAAATCAAAGCACATAGTCCATCTCCCTTTTATCCTTAAAATGACATGCTGCCATCTACTATTCATTTAAAAATGGTCCTTTCACATTCTGGTCAGTGCATTGGTGTTTTAAACTGAATGGACAAAGATACTCCTAATGTAATTTTTTAAGTTTATGAGTTTCTTTTATGCATTTTGAGTTCTATATATTTGGTGCTTACCTTCTTAAACTTAGGAATTATAAGAGAAAGGCCATTTAATTTGCTGATGGTTTTAAAATTAACAGTATCTGATGTAGAAGGAAGCATAATTTAAAAGTATTTAGTAAATCTGTTCCATATATACTACCTTATTTCTAGATTTGTTAAAAATTGAAACAAAAAACTAATGGATAGAGGTAATAGAAAACTGCATTTTAATGTGTATCATAATAAGTGATATAAAACCATTCTTCTGTTATTACTAACAAAATTGTGTTCATAAAATTTTGTTAATCATATGACTTTTCTGTAAATAAAATTCTCTTATCTAAAAATATCTTAGCTTTTTTGGTAGTGTGGCATGATATCTTTGTAAACTAAGTAGACTTTGATAGTTGGATAAATGAAGATATTATAAGACTCATCAGCATTACATACAAGCTAAACTAGAGAATTCCAAACACATTTAGAATCCTAAGTTTTCTAAGAGAATTTAATGTGTACTTTACATTTGAAAATGCTTTCTACTGTATAACATTTAAGTTTCTTGATTACCTTAAATACTTCATCTTTTTAAACGTAAGCAAGTAATATTCCAAGTATACCATGTCCCTTCTATAGAAAATACAAATACTGTTATATTTTAGAGCATGTAAGTTCCTTTACAGGAACATAACATATACGAGTACTTTAGTTGGGAGTCAGAGGAATGAGCAATTCTTTATTCCTTGAAGTTACTGGAGAAATAGTTCTGTCAATATGAGCCTGACAATAATTCTACACAGCAGGTCACAGTGTGCTATTGTCCATGGACATCTCTGTGTTGCAAATTACAGAAAGAGATAAAAGCAATAAACAACTTGATTTATCTGGCGAGTCTTCACATTTTACAGATCTACTGATTAAGAAAATTTTACTACAGTATCTTGTATAAGGCTCTAAAGAAAACTGTGATTGCATCCTACTTTAATTCATTAACCCAGGCTTCTTACATAGATTATTTGCCCACTTTTGATCTCAATCACAAAGTAAATTATAGCAGAATTAGTCTTGATTTGCACTCCATCTAAGCTTACATCTCTTGAAATTTTTTATGGTTTTGAGCACATTGGCGAAAATGTTTCAAGTTCCGAAGATCTGTATGTATTTTCATTTTTCACTGATTTAAGGAAATCACTGAAATCTATAAAACTTAGAATTTATTTTTATTTTACTAAATACGATAATGTAAAATATCTGAAGGTAATACCACATTCTAGCTTTCCCATACCAGCTGGTGATGTTAGCTTAACTTAAAAATTTGTTTTAGTCTGTCACAAAATATATTTAACTTTGTATTGGCTGATGTGTACACGTGGATTGATCTGGGAGAATTTAAATCTCTAATTGAAAATTTAACCCAGTTGAATAGGACCTTGTTTAGTCTTGTCCTGTGTTTTATATGGTTATACATCAGTATTAACATGTCTGACTCCCTTGGTTTTCTTAGTTTACTTTTTATTTATTTAGCTAAATTTTAGTTTACTTCCTGGTTGCTTTTTACCAAGAATTATATTTTTTCAATTACTACAACATTTTACCCCAGCTTATTTTCTGGTAATTACTAGTAAATAGTTAATAACTAAAATAAGAATGGTAAATGAAATGACCTATTGCCCTTTTGGTATTTTCTAATCAAAACATTAGAATTTTTATGTTTGCAATATCTACTGATAGACTATTTTTTCTAAAAATATAGTCTATTAATGTGTTACACCAGTTGTTAAATGCACCATATCAAATAATTTATGATTGTTGTTACATTTTATGACGTGAACTCAGAAACATCAGAGTAAAGTGAAAAATTGAAATCTATTAGCTTGTTTTAAATATTTTTCATAGTTTGTTGTTTGTTTTCCACCCTCATATAGGTTGAATTTCCCTTCTTGTAGCATTCAGAGATTTTAATTTTTGACTGATTTTCCATTATACAAAAAATGAATGCATTCTTTCTTGAAAAATTATTACAGACATTACAGATAAATCTAAAGTTTTCTTTAACCACATTTCCAGTTTGGGTCCCCCCTACCAATGATGTAACCACTGTTTGATACATGCTATTAATTTTCATGTTATAACAGAATGTAATAACATCTATCTTAAATGAATCTTGTTTTGTAGTAATCACAGATGCAATTCACATCATGGTGGATTGTTCCATATCTGTTCACTATCCTCATGTAAAAGTTCTACATTACAATGTTTAATGTTAATGTAAGTCTTTAGTATAACAACATAATTCGAATTGTTCAATTGTATTAATTTTGTGGAAAGATAATTATGGTTAATTTAATTTTAAAATGATTTCCTAACCTTTCTGAGTAATAAATGACTCTTTTGAACCCCAGTAATGCTCTTTTCTTTTAAACAATATAAGAAGCAATATTTGCCAGCCATTTTGATATATACATGAGGCATTTGGAATCTGGGCAAGGGAAATAGAAATATGTGATACAATCATGGATAATTCATATGGGCCAGACTTACTAACATAATGTAATGAGAAAGAAATGCTTGCATTTTCTCGAATGCTTGAGTAATGACCTATAATACATTTATGTGTTTAGTTATTATGACTTACAGTACTAAATTAATTTCTAGTTGGTAGCTAATTTGGGATACCTATTACAAAGATGGAGAGAGAAGAATCTTGTGTCTTAGTAATTTTGGTTTTTGGTTTATGTTATTCCTGCTATTTATTAAAAGACGTACCTAAAGCGTTAGGTCCCTGTATTCTCTTTTAATTGTACTTCATGTCCTCTCAACTGTACTATGAAGGTAAAATAAAATCTTTTATTTTTTATATTTTTTAATCGAACAATTGTTTATTCAAAAAACAGCAACAATGTATTTTGTGATTATAGCTTATGGATAAATGAAATGATTGTAGTGAAAGTCTTATTTTCCTTCAGTTTAGAAGAATAATTTCACTGCTTATTATGTAGATCCAAGTTTCTGACCTATATCATTTTCTTCATTGTGAAGAACTTTTATTCAAACCATGTCTCTCAAGGGAAGACTATTGGCAACAAAAATACCTCAATTTTTGTAGTGAAAGTCTTATTTTCCTTCAGTTTAGAAGAATAATTTCACTGCTTAAGAATTATAGATAGATTGGTTGATTTTAATTTTTAAAACACTTTAAATATTTCACTCAACACTATTTTGCTTTCATGATTTCTGAAGAGAAATCTGGTGTAAATATCGTTGGTTCTTTGTTTTAAGGTTTTTATTTCTCTGGCTTCTTTCAGTACTCTGTCTTTGTTTTTCTGTAGTTTCAATATGATAGGCCTATGTGTAGGGTTTTTTTGTTTTTTTGTTTTTGTTTTTGTTTTTTATCCTGCTTTGTGTTTTCTGAGCTTCCTGGATTCATGCCTTGGTATCTGTCATTATCATTATTACTTGAAATATTTCTTGTGTCCCCTTTCTTCTGGTATTCTCATTACATGTATGTTTACACCTTTTATAATTATGCCACAGTTCTTGGATATTCTGCCCCGTCGTTTTCACTCTCTTTTCTCTTCATTTCAGTTTTGGAAGTTTCTCTTATATTTTCAAGAATACTGATTCTTTCCTCAGTCATATCCAGTCTATTGCTGAGCCCATCAAAAACATTCTTTTGATTTTGATTTTTAACATTTTCTTTTTATTCTTTTTTAGAGTTTTCGTCACTCTGCTGACATTACCCATCTTTTCTTGCATGTCATTTACTTTCCCATTAGAGCCCATAGCATATTAATCAATTGTTTTAAATTTCTCATCTGATCATTCCAAAATCTCTCATATCTGAGTCTGGATCTTATGCTCTCTTTATCAAAATGTCTTTTAGTATGCCTTTAAATTTGTTAATCCAAACACGATATATTGGGTAAAAAGGAACCTGGTACTGGCTTCACTGGGTATTTTTTTTTCATAGGCCTCTGCTCTGACAATACTAAAATTTTTTAAAAGTATAATCGATGTGCTGAGATAAAAAAGAAAATAGAATTAAATAAATGCTTGATTAAAACTAGAGAAAAATGGAAGACAATAAAGACAAGGGAAACAAATAGAAAACAAAAGGCAACAAATAGAAAACAAAAACAAATGTGATAGATATTAATCCAACTCAATCAATAATCACTTAAAATGTGAATGGACTAAATACTAAATATACCAATTAAGACAAGGCTGTCAGAGTGGATGAAAAGACAAGACTCAACTGTATGTTTTCTATAAGAAATCATTTGAAATATAAAGACATTAAAAGTAAAGGGATGTTGAAAGATATACCAAGTTAACATTAATTTTAAAATAACTTGGATTTAGCTATGTAAATTACAAACAAAGCAGACCTCAGAGCAAGGAAAATGACTAGGGATTATGAGGGGCATTATAGATCAATAAAGTGGTCAGTTTCCTAAGAAGACATAATACTTACTTTTTATGCATCTAACAATATTATCATAATACAAGAGGCAAAAACTGGTAGAATTGCAAGAACTAAAGCCCAATTTTTGGAAGGTTTTAGGGTTCAAGGTTAACATACAAAAGTCAATACACCTGACATTCAAAACTTACACCAAAGAGAGAGAGATTTAGTATAAATCTATATGTGTAAGATTTATATGAGGAAACCTACAAAAGTTATGAAAGAAATTAAAGATCTTAAATGGAAACACATTTCACGTTTATGATAGGAAAACATTGTTAAAGCCTCCGTTCTTCCCAAGTTGATTTATAGATTTAATGCAATCTCAATAAAAATTCCAGCAAATTAACTTTGTGAAAATCTAAAGTTTCTATGGGAAGGCAAAAGACCCAGAATAGCTGCCACAATATTGAAAAAGAATAACAAGTTGGAGGATTGACACCAACTTTAATACTTGCTATAACGCTATGGTACCAAGACAGTGTGATATTGATGAAAGAATGGACAGATAGATCAATGGAACAGAATGGAGAGCTCAGAAATAGACCCATATAAATATGGTCAGCTGATGTTTACAAAGGAGTAAAAGCAATCCAATGGAGTTGGCTTAGTCCGTCTTTTTCAAGAAATGTGCTAGAACAATGGTATATGCACATGCAAAAAAAAAAAAAAGTAGACACTGACATTACACCTTTAACAAAAATTAACTCAAAATAGATACAGACCTAAATGTAAAGTGCACAACTATGAAACTTCTAGAACATGAGTAGAAATCTAGTTTGACCTTGTGTTTGATGAAGATTTTTTATATACAACATCAAAAGCACAATCCATGAAAGAATAAATTGATAAGTTGGATTTTACTAAAATTAAAAATTGCTTCATTAAAGACACTGTTAGAATGAAAAAGTAAGCCACAACCTTGAAAATAATATTTGCAAGACACATCTGATAACTCACAGAACTAATCAAAACTTTGAAGGAACTCTTAAAACAATAATAAGACAACATTTCAATTAAAAAGGGCAAAAGATCCGAATGGACACTTCACCAAAGAAGTTGTACAGATGATAAGCAGATGAAAAAAATCTCCACGTCACATGTCATCAGGGAAATAGAAATTAAACAATGAGATACCACTATACACTTATGGCCAAAATCCAGAACATTGACAACATCAAATGCTGTCCAGGATGTGGAGAAACAGGAACTCGCATTCATTACTGGTGGGAATGAAAATGGTACAGCCACTTTGGAAAACAGTTTGGCAGTTTCTTAAAATACTAAGCATATTCTTACTATACAACCCATCAATTATGATCGTTGGTAGTTACTCAAATGAGTTGAAAACTTATGTCCACACAAAATCCTGCACACAAATGTGTATTGCAGCCTTTTTCATAAGTGCCAAAAATTGCAAACAATTCAGATGTTCTTTAATAAGTGAATGGATAAACGAACAGAGTACATCTATACAATGGGATAGTATTTAGCCATGAAGAGAAATGAGAAAAGAATGTCACAGACATAGAGGAAACTTAAACGAATATCGCTAAGTGAAAAAAGCCAATCTGAAAGGCTATATACTGTATATTTCAGCTATATGACATTCTAGAAAAGGCAAAACTATGGAGATAGATAAAAGATCGGTGGTGGTCGGGTTGTGGCTAGTGGGTTGGGAAGGGAGGGGAGTTGGGATGAATAAGAGGAGTACAGGGGTTTTTAGGGCAGTGAAACTATAATACTGAAATGGTGGGTACATAACATGGATTTGTTAAAACCTATAGAACTGTACAATACAAAGAATAAATCCTAATGTAAACTATGGACTTTAGTTAAAAATGTACAATATAAGTTCATCAGTTACAACAAGTGTAACACACAAAATGTTAATGATAGGGGAAACTAGGCAGGGGGAAAAGGAGTATATGAGAATTCAATTTCTCTGTAAATGTAAAATAGCTCTAAAAATAAACTCCCATAAGGATGGGATAACAGAGAAAGAACAAACTATAAAAAGCTCATTTTCATATAGACACATTGAAATTGAAAAAATAAATGCTTATTTTAAGTGATTACCTTTGGGATTATTTTATTATATAGTAACAAATAATTTCATTATGCAAGTGTTAACACACCATAATAACTGGTTATGGATTTGGGTGTAGGACAGACTAAAGCGATTTTAAAACTCCTAGGTGAAGAGGAGTCAAAATAGGAGGGGGAAGAGAATAACAATAACAAACCATAAACATAATGCTTTTTCTGGTAAAATAGCCATGAAACCAAAATGTTAAATAAGTAAATGAATTTAATGCAAAGATAGCCAGAGCAGCAGATTTTGTTTGCCTCCGCTCTTC